CACCGGCCGCCCTTCCATGCTGCTGCGACCCTTATCGCGGCCTTGCGCGTTCCCCATTGTCGCTTGTTGATGATAGGATAAAGAGGATAAACGGCGAAACTAATCGGTTCTTACTGCTGGATGCGAGTGGACAAGGTAACAATGTCAAAACCCGCTCTAACAAAATTATACCCCGGTACTGACCCCGAAAACCTTATACCTAATTTCTACCACACGAACAAAACAGATCCCACTAAGTCAGGAACTAAGGGACGAGTCTGCTTGAGAGGTGGTAGTCTTTATCGACAGTTGTGACTCACCATCGAGACAAACACATCAACGGATGAGATGCTCTGCTGGTGGCGAACAGCAGTTTCGGTTCAACTCTGGATAAGGATTATATGGTAACCAGATAATGTCGCATCGATGCTGACAGCTCAGTTACAAGGTCGCACTGCATTCTTCCCTCCTCGAGTTGTGATAGAATTTCCGACGGCCTGTTTTCACGAACTTTTTGTTTCCGACTTGGCGAACTTTCCGAAAACAATGAACCAGTAGAGCCGAGGTTCGCGAAACTCCTCAAAGGTGAACATCATTTTCGCTGTTCATCAATGTTAGACCCTCGCCGCGTACACCACTCCACAAACCCTTGAAGAGTTCCCTTGTTCAGCCATTCATGACGATAGGATCTACTTCTAGTAGTTCCACCAGCTTACCAGATCTTAGGTTTGAAGGACTGTAGGACCGAGACACTGCGCAACGTGGATTTTATTAGGCGAATAAAACCTTTTTTTTTTTTTTTTTTTTACTCGCCTTGCGCGGCGTAAAGTCTCTTCCGTCTGCCAGCTATGGAGGTCGGCGCTCGCGAGACGTCCCGCCTTTATGTCGGCCGTTTGTCGACGCGTACGGGGATGCATGATCTGGAAGACGTCTTCTCGAAATACGGAAAGTGCGTTTTTTTATTTCCACCATTCCAAACCGTTTCATTGCATTTTTCTTGATATTATTCCCCCACCTCCCCCACCCCCAACCTCGTAGCTTGCATTTCTGTAAGCTTGCATTCTGTAAAGATTCTTCGGCTTACTGGTGTTGTTCCCCGCTCAAGATCGCCTTTTGAATGTCGCGTCACACGTTTTCTGAGAAAGAGAAGATTCTTTGGTGAAGGGCCAACGGCGTCGCCGACCAATCGCCTTGCGTGCGCGCGCGCCGGATGAGTCGAGATATTCCGGATGCGACCAGGGATATCGATTCCAACTTACGCACCAAGATGATGTCAATCCAACCTCAAATTACCGCTTCTTCTCGATACTCCCGAGGTGTTTTTCGCTCGCGTCAAGCAGCGCCAATGGCCCTCGTTTTGAAACGCCCGTCTCGATTTCTCTAGAAGAATCGAAATTTTCGTGTTTCTGCGCGGCTCTCTGGATGGCGCATATCTCTCTGGATCCTGGTCTCCAACCCTGACCTCTACTGCTTCTCGTGTCAGATTCTGGCGTTGAGTTTTTTGCTATTAATCCCAGCGTCAACTCTCCAACCTCCATACTGTGGCTCCTGATGCTGATGAATAAACCTCCCCGTCCATGAGCTTGCCGTGAGCCTGCTGGCGTATTTCAAATCCTTCTACTGAGCTGCGCTCCTCATTCGCCATTCCTCCTTTGAGCCCACACCGCTCTGGGGCAAGAATGGTTGGCTCTGTATCTCCCTCCACCCCCCCAAACCCCCCCAACCCCCCTCCCCTCTCTCCCCGGTCTGCAATCCGAGTTTACAAAGCAAGCGCCGTTGCAGTTTGTGCGGCGACTTTTGGCATCAGGGCTCAAATATTTCTTCTCAACAGGTCTCTTGCCCCCTTGATCCGATCCCCTTGATTAAGGCGAGCAACATCCGTCCAGGGGCCCTATGTTTGTAATCAACATCTCTATGGCTCAGGAGCCCTTGACCTTGTCCCGGAGTGGGCTGAACCTGAATGCTGTTTTGAGCCTTTGCCTCCCTGCTCCCATCACATGTTGGGACCTCTGCTCAGCTATCTGTGTTCCCAGTTTCCCCACCAGCCTCCATATAACATACCTCCCTTTCCCTTCCATACTTTTTCCCTTCCTTCCTCCTCCCGCCATGAATCCATCCTTTCTCCATTCCCAACATACCGGCCCGTTCATCCGTTCACCTCCCCTGCGTGTGTGAACCTAATTATAGTTTTTCTTTTTCATTTCTCCACTCCCTTTTCTGCTTTTCCTTTCTGCTCCCTTGTCTGCTCCCCGCATTCCCCTCCTCCCATGCCTCTCCCTCCCCCCTCCTTCCATTCTCCTTCTCCTCCGCTTTTCCACCTTTTCCCTCTCTCCCCCTGCTCTCAACATCTCTCCCTTTCAATCTCCTCCCTCTTCCTCCCCCCCCCCCCTCTCCATTTCCCCGTTCTCCTTCTCTCTCCCACCCTCCCTTTCCACCCCCAATCCTGCGTCTCGCTTCTCCTGTTCTGCCCAACCAACCTCCGCATGGCCACTTGTTGTGGGGCTGCGCTTCTGCTGCCAATCCAAATCTGCTGCCGATCCACCCCTGCTGCTGCCTCGTGAAACATCTCCTGCTGACTTGTGCGCCTCTCACCACATTGATGGATGGCTGCTTGGACAAACGGCATGGCTCCATGCGCGCCTGATGCTCTAATGTGGCGGCTGCCTGTCGCCATGGCATTGCGGAATCCTTTCACCGGCTCCCTGGGTGGCTGCATGGGCGGCTGTGTGGGCGGCTTCCTGGGTGTCTGCATCGGCGGCCGCATGGGTGGCTGGCTTTGTGGGCGGCTGCGTGGGCGGCTTCCTGGGCGGCTGCATGGACGGCGTTTTTGGACGCTTGTTCGTCTCGTGTGGCGCCTGCTGCTGCTGCCATGGTGGCGTCGCTCGCTGCTTCCACCGGCATTGTCTGCTCGTTGCTCGTTGCCTGCTGCGTCCTCCAACGTTGCCTGGTCGGCTGCTCTGCGATTGCTCTGCATTCACCGGCGGCGCTGCATGGACGGGACCGACCGGTCTTGTATGTCGTTCGGGGCCTCATTCCTCTCATCCCACCACCCAGGGTGAAGAGAGTCGATATGAAGACCGACTATGCCTTTGTGGTAAGCCTATGCCTTTGTGGTAAACCTATGCCTTTGTGGTAAGCCTATGCCTTTGTGGTAAGCCTATGCCTTTGTGGTAAGCCTATGCCTTTGTGGTAAGCCTCTTGCTTGCATTCTGTGGCCTTGTATGACTTTCGGGGCCTCCTTCCTCGCACTCACCACCCAGGGTGAAGATAGTCGATATGAAGACCGACTATGCCTTTTGTGGTAAGCCTCTTTGCTTGCGTAGTGCTGTGGTCCTTTGACAAAAAAAGAATGTCATCCATATGCAAATTATTCAGGAATTATGGTGTGAAGGCATGAAGAGGACCTCCAATGATTGGTTTTCACCTTGTGGTAAGTCACTTTTGCACTGCTTCTCTGTTGTCCTTGTAGTGAAGATGTGTGTACGGGTATGGGACCATACATATGCATTTCAGTCTATGGTTGATGGAGCGGAGATTCAACGTTCATGGTAAGACTTGCATGCGCTCTTGCTCATTGGCTTATTTGTAAACAGAGATGTTTTGAGACGTCTCAAAACATCTCTGTTTACACGTGGCTTCAATATTCATGGTAAGACTTGCATGCGCTCTTGCTCATTGGCTTATTTTTCTTGTTGTAAGTTGACATTCTTTCAATTGTCCTTCGAAGAAATCGGGGACTTTGAAACAAATATTCGAACCTCAGTCTTCACTTGAATCCGGCTCCCTTTGTCACCCTTCACTCAAACCACAATCGCTCATGGTTGTTTACTTGCCTACTCATTGCGTGGTCTACTCAGTTGTCTACTTCACGTGGTCTCGTTGCCGCTCCTCATCAAATCGCAGTCGCTAGTGTACTCCAGTCCAGGGGCTCTTAACCACCCTCAAAAACCAGCGATTCCCCTCGTCTGCTTCACGGTCTTGTCACCAGCCCTTTTTATATCGCAGCCTTCACTTGTCTGTCGCATGGTGTCTCCGACATCTCTCGTCTGAACCAAACTCTTCGCTCGGCTACTTCATGGTCTTCTCGCCACTCTTTGTCCGAACCGAACCACGATCCGACTCATCCACATCCTTTGGCTCTCTATGTCGGCGGCGCACCGGCGCGGTGGCGTGGAGGCACAGCGGCACAAAGGCACAATGGCACAGCAACACGACGACACGCCACGCAGGTAAAAGCGGCATGGTGGCATGGATGGACAGTGGCACGAGGGCATAGCGGCACAGCGGCAGCACAGCGCCACACCGGCGCTGTGGCACGGAGACACAGTGGCACAAAGGTACAGCACAGCAGCACGACGACACACCACGCCGGTAAAAGCGGCATGGTGGCACGGAATTACAGTGGCACGGGGGCACAGCAGCACAGCGGCACAGCAGCACGGCAGCACGGTGGGATGGTGGCATGCTGGCTGGCAAGGCGGCCAAACCACAATCTCCTGTCGTGCATATATTGTGGTGGCTTCACCAACGTTCGACTTCATCAAAATCGCAGCCCCAATCCGTCCACCTCATGGTGTCTTGAACCAGTCTCCTCTCGTGCACATCATGGTCGCTTCCCCCCATTGTCCATCCAAAACACAACTCCGCCTTGTCCGCTTCACGGTATCTTCGAACCACAGTCTCCTCTCCTATCATATTTCTGATGGGCGCGCCGTCGCCGTCCGTCCAAACCACAGCATCTACTCGTCCCATTCATGGTCAACGTTGACAGACCAGCCCGGATTGGCCCATGATGGTCAGTCCAAATGAAACTGGCCCTCTTCCCATCCTTGAAGACCTTGACTTTCAAAGATATTATGAAGCCAGAGAGGAGGAGAGCTGGTGAGCTATCAGGGTGAGGACAGGAAAAAGTCCCTTGTTGGTGCCTGCCACAAAGGAGATAGCATACGCCCCTATAGACAGCAATTCAGCGCCCAGAGGTATGGTGGTGGTCAATGCTGCTGAAGTGGGCAAGAATATCGATGAATAAGTTCAGCGTGGTGGGGTAGGCGTACATCATACCGTACATGGTTGGTCGACAAGTGTGGTGGCATAGTGGGGAAGTAGGAAATATGAGGATGGAATGAGCTGACGACCAAAGGTGAAAATGCAGCCGGCTTGGTTGGTTGGCCTACAGCATCCTGAACAGATCCTAGGCCTGATTAACCTTTCGGAGGACTGGTGTGATGGCCACGACCAACAAGGCGCCTCAAAATGCTGACTGGCCTGGCCTGCGGCATCCTGAGCCAGCTCCTAGGCCTGATATACCTTTCGGAAGACTGGTGTGATCAATCGCCACGACCACAATCGATGATCATGCTTAGGTAGTAGTGCGACTGCGTAAGCGTGGCCAAGTCCTTACATTTGATGTAGTTTTTGCAGAGCTTCTGTGCCCCGCAGCAGAATTAGCAATGAGAGTAATGTGTCGTCAACATTCACCAGAATGGAGTAGCAAGGGGATGTGTGAAGGGTTTGGTTGGTGTCTGTCAGAATGAGAAGCAGAAAGGGCTAAGGTAAGGACCGCAAGATGCCTGCATGCTAATGCAAGGTGGCGGGGAACTTGACATGCCATATGCAAGGTGCTCGCGCGTGTGTGACGTACACCGGACGGCGGAGGCGCTACACTCTGTGGCACAGTCTGTGTCTGATTGGATGTGGATGGTGGCATGAAATCCATAAGGCGGGATGCTCAGAAAGCTTTTTTTCTTTTCTCTTTCCTTTTTTTTGTTTTTCTCCATACGATTCACTTCGTCCCCTTAAGCCCATTTTGTGTTCTGCTGACATGTAAACGTTTTGGGCTGCATGAATTCCTGTGTCGACGTGCTTAGGAAGCAAGAGACAACCGTCTACCTACCAAGTCTAACAAATGGTTTGTTGTTATACCCCAAACCTTGCTGTGTGTTCTATTGGCAGGAGTTTAACAACGCACAAGATGCCAAGGAAGCACAGCAGCGTTGCGATGGCATGGTGGTGGATGGGGCGAGAATTATTGTGGAGATGTCCAAACCGGTGAGTGCTTTTGACTGGTTATTGTGTGGATATGCGAGTGATGCATGTTAATGTGCTGCTAGTGCCAAGGAAGCACAGTTGCGCTGCAATGGCATGGTGGTGGGCGGGCGAGGATCATTGTGGAGATGTCCAAACCGGTGAGTGCTTTAGGCCGGGCTATTGTGTGCATATGTGAATGATGCTTGTTGGTTTATTTGCTGCTAGTGCCGACATAGAATGCTGAGATGGCATGGTGGGGGGGGGGGGGGCGAGGATCATTGTGGAGATGTACAAACCGGTGAGTGCTTTTTGAAGAGGTTACTGTGTGTGTCAATGGGTGTGAGATGAGATGTGGTGGATGTTGGTGTGCTGCTAGTCTATTTCTGAGCCGACTCTAAAATAGTCTCATTACGTGCCGACATTGAGTGCTGCGATGGCATGGTGGTGGACAGGACGAGAATCGACTTGGAGATGTCCAAACAGGTGAGTGTGTTTTTCCTGTAGGGTTATTGGTGGATATGTGTGGTTGTATGTTTGATTACCGTAACTACACGTGTGTGAATACGTGTTGATTAATGTATGTGTGATTCCTATGACTAAATGTATGTGAATATGTGCTGATTTATATGTGATTACTATCACTATTTGTATATGAATACGTGCTGATTTATGTGTGATTACTATTACTATTTGTATGTGAATAAATGTGTGGTGCATGCTGATGTACCCGCCCAGCCATGCAGCCGCCAACGCCTGGCGTGGGGCCATCTGGGCCTGGGGTTATCTTTGATGCTTCTGCTTGAGGTGGTTTTTGAGGCGCCTCAAAAACAACGCCTGGCGTGGGGCAATCTGGGCATGGGGTTATCTTTGATGCCTCTGCTGCTCATTTGCAACTTACTTCCCCTCTTTTTCATCCGTCTCCCTGCCCCCACAGACCAACCAGCCCTCCACTCCACTGCGCTGCTTCTCCTGCGGGCAGCAAGGGCATCGCTCCACTGATTGCCCGGACAGGCAGAGGCAGCACCACTCGCAGGTGGTGTGCTTACTTGCATCTTACTCCCCTCTTTTCCACTCATCTCCCTGCCCCCACAGACCAACCAGCCCTCAAACCCACTGCACTGCTTCACGTGCGGGCAGGAAGGGCATCGCTCCAGAGTGCCCGGACAGACAGAGGCAGCATCACTCGCAGGTGGTGTGCTCACTTGCATCTTTCTCCCCTCTTTTCCATCGATCTCCCCGCCCCCACAGACCAACCAGCCCTCGAACCCACCACGCTGCTTCACCTGCGGGAAGGAAGGCCATCGCTCCACGGATTGCCCGGACAGGCAGAGGCAGCACCACTCCCAGGTGGTGTGCTTCGGGTGCAAGCAGCCAGGGCATCTGCACAAGCACTGCCCCAACCGCCCTGCCATGCCGCCCCCCACGCCTGGCGTGGGGCCGTCTGGGTCTGGGGTGATCCTTGATTCCGCTGCCTCTGGGATGCCTGAGGCGGCGGCAAGTGGAGGAGTCAAGTGCTTCGGGTGCAATGCATCTGGACACGTGCTCAAGGACTGCCCGCAGATTTCTGGTGAGTCTGCGTTGGATGCAACAAACCTGGTCACACGCGAAGTGTGCTCGGATGCAATGAATCTGGCCACGTGTGCTCAAGGACTGCCTCCAGATTTCCAGTGAGTCTGCTTTGGGGACAATAAAATCTGTGACATGCACGAGTGTGCTCCGATGCAATGAGCCTGTGCATTCCTACTCTAGGACTGCCCACATATTGCGGGTGAGGCTGCTTGTATAGCTGGCATGTGTTGCCGTGGCATGTGTTGCAGCGGCATGTGTTGCCGTGGCATGTGTTGCTGTGGCATGTGTTGCTGTGGCATGTGTTGCTGTGGCATGTGTTGCTGTGGCATGTGTTGCTGTGGCATGTGTTTGCTGTGGCATGCTTAGCAATGGTATGTGCAGCAATGGCATGTGTTGCAGTGATTTTACTCCTCTGCCTTCACTCCTCTGCCCTCACTCCGCTGGTTTCAGCCTTCCGGTTTCACTCCCCTACCTTCACTCCTCTGCTTCCACTCCGCCATGCAGGGCGCAGGTGCGGATCAGCATGAGAGGCAACCAAGTGAAGTGACCTGTTAGCCTTGCCACTGCTTCCTTGCCCATACCCGCACCTGGCACTCCCCTGTTTTTACTACTCTGCTTCCACTCATCCATGCAGGTGTGTGGGCGCAGGTGTGGATCAGCATGAGAGGCAGCCGAGTGCTTGCTTTCTTGTACTCTCTCACTCCTCTGATTTCAGTTCTGTCTTCTCAATCTTCTGCTTCCACTCATCCATGCGGGTGTGGGCGCAGGTGCGGATCAGCATGAGAAGCAGCAGAGTGCATACTTTTGTATACTCTCCTCCGGTTTCACTCCTCTGCTTCCACTCATCTATGCAAGTGTGGGAGCGGGAGCGGATCAGCATGAGAGGCAGCATTGTTGGGGACACCAGTTGTCAACCTTGGACGAACCCATCCTCGCACTCCTGTCGTTTCACTACTCTCATTTTCACTCCTTTGGGTCCACTTGTCTTGCAGGTGTGGGCGCCGGTGCGGATCAGCATGAGAAGCAGCGCAGGTGGACGACGCACCCATACTCACACTCCTCCGGTTTCACTCCTCTCGTTTCTACCCTTCTGGGTCCACTTGTTTGTGCAGGTGCAGGGGCCGGTGCGGATCAGCACGAGAAGCAGCGCAGGTGGGACAAGCGCCACTCATCTCCCACCTCCCGGCAGCACTCGCCAAGGTGAGGTTTGAGGGGATGGAATGAGATGAGAAGTGGTGAAGAATGGTGGGGTGAAATGTGATGAGGTGATTTGAGGTGGGATGGGATGGGATGGGATGGGATGGGATTGGATGTGGCGGCTATTTCTTGCAATTAAAATCCTCCCTGTTTTCAGGTTTCTTGTGGCTACCTTATTTTCTGATTTGCCACACTGAAGCACTTGTCACTTGCATCGATTTCCTGTGCCATTCTTTGCTTACTCCATCCTCATCGCTCTCCCTGACCTTCTCCCCTTCCCCTCTTTCCATCCATTTCTCTCCCACTGCCTGCCTTCTGTTCTCTCTGGCGGCTGTGAATTGGGAGTGTTTTCAAACTCTTTCTTCTTTACCAGGCGTGACTTAAGAGACAGGCTTGGGCGGGGCGAGAGGGATGAGAGGAGGGATGGAGGCAGGGGACGGGACGAGAGGGACAGGGATGAGAGGGACCGAGGGAGGAGCGAGATAGATAGGGATAGGGATAGGGAAAGGGAGAGGGAGCGGGAGCGGTGGGGAAGGGACGGAAAAAGAGGTTATGATCATAGTGGTGGTGGTGACAAGAGGGGGCGTGATTATAACGAGCTTGGCAGCCCAGGGAGCAAAAGAGGCCGTGACAATAACGAGCGGGACAATTTCGGGCGTGACAGAAACGACCGGGACTTTAGGGATCAGCAGCAGGGAGGAAACTATCTCCCAAGCAGAAACGACCGTGATTATAAGGAGGGCAGCGGTGCAAAGCCGGAAGCCAGACTGGTCATGACTGTTCCTGCCACTCCGCCTAAATCCATCCCCCCGTATAACCCCCTGCCTCCTGCTCCCGCCCCCTCAAACATGCCGTATGGCGGTATGCCTTATAATGGGCCGGCTTATAGTGGAGCGGGTTATGGGGGCGTGGCTTATGGGGGTACAGCTGCAAGCTCTGGGGATGTGGGTGGGAATGTGGGAGTGGTTGGGGGGATGGATATGGGGATGGGTATGGGGATGGGAGTGGGGAGTGGTAGTGGTGGTGCTGTGTATGCGCATGGTGGGATGGCTGCTTCTAACACTTATCAGGCTCCTGCTGTTGCTGTTGCCCCTGCTGCTGCTGGTGCTGGTGCTGTTGCAATGGGTGCTGTTGTGACAGGCCCTGGCTTTCCCCTAGGCACCGTTGCTCCTCCTCCTGCCCCTGCTCCTGTTGCTCCTGTTGCTCCTGCCGCTGCTGCTCCTGCTATTACTGCTCCTGCTGCTCCTGCTGGTGGTGGTTCTGCAGTGTATGGTGCTGCTGGCTCTGGTGGTTATGGTGGTGGTGGTGGTGTTTCTGGTCCTGGCATGCAAGGTGGAATGGGTAGGGGCATGCAAGGCAGTGGAATGGGTGGGGGCAGTATCCCAGGGAGTTCAGATGGTGTGGGAGGAGTGGTGGGCGGTGGAGGGATGGGTGGAGGAACGGGAGGAGGAATGGGAGGAGGAATGGGGGGAGGGATGGGGGGAAGGATGGGGGGAGGGACGGAGGGAGGAATGGATGGAGGGATGGGTGGAGGAGTGGGTGGAGAGATGGGGGGAGGGACGGATGGATCAATGGTGGGAGGAATAGCAGGAGCAATGGGAGGGGGAGGAGCAGGGGGTGTGGTGTATGTGGCAATCCCAGCGGCAGCAGCAGCAGCTGCAGCAGCAAGGGGCGAGCAGCTTATTCTAGTGAGTGCGAGTGATGGGCGGCTGGTGGGGCAGGATGGAGTGATGCTGCAGCAGGGGGCGGTACAGGGAATGCAGCAAGGAGGGGTGCAGCAAGGGGGGATGCAGCAGGGGGGGATGCAGCAGGGAGGGGTGCAGGGGGGAGTGCAAGGGATGCAGCAAGGGGGAATGCAGGAGTTGCAGCAGGGAGTGGTGCAAAGGGGGGGGTTTCAGCAGGAGGGCCAGCAGGGAATGCAGCAGGGAGGGGTGCAGGGGGGGAGACTGCAGGGGGGTTTGCAGGGGGTGGGGCAACAGGGAATGCAGCAGGGGGGGCAGCAGGGGATGCAGCAGGGGATGCAGCAGCAAGGGGGGATGTCACTGCAAGCAGAGTCAGGGGGCCAGCAAATATTTGTTGTGGGGCAGGATGGGATGTTGACTCAGCAACCTGTAAGACTTTCCGGGCAGCCTGTGGGGCAGCAGCAGCCACCGCAGCAGCAGCAACAGCAACAGCAACAGCAGCAGGCGGGACGTTCAGGTGAAACCTCAGGTGTTTTGCAGCAGTATGAGCCTGTTCAGGTGTACAGTGGAATAGGAGGGTCTTATAGAACCCCTCCTGCTGGGGGAAGCATGGAGGGCGTTCGTTCGCAAGGCTCCTATGGCACTGCTGCAGGTACCCCCGGACCTGGGGGGTATGGTGCGAGTGCACCCTACAGTGGTGGCGCTACCACTGGTGGTTCGTCCCTCTCTACTCCCCCTTGGCTTGCCGCTGCCCCGGTTTCTACTCCAAATGCTCCTCCCCTCCCCCCCGGACCACCTCCCACTTACGACACAAGAATCGACACAAGGGGTGCGTCTGGTAACCGTAACACGAATACTAGTGAGCAATTCATTGGCAGCAGCAGCGGATCCATCGGGCCTGGTGGTTTGTCTTACGTTGTTGAACCCCCCCCTGCGATGCAGCCGGGCCAGGGGTACTCTGCCAGAGGACCAGAACCGGCAGGGTCCGGCGGGTATAATAATGGTGGCATGGGGAGCAGTAACACCGGGAGCGGTGGTTTCGGAAATAGTTACGGTGGTAATGTGGGTGCACCTGGTGGTGGTGTGGGCGGTGGTTACTCCAATATGCCCTCTTATATGCCCACGCCTGCTCCTCCTCCTCCTGCTGAGGTTTATTTTAGTGGGGGCAGTGCGTATGGTGGACGGGCAGACGGAATTATTGGTCGGGCGGAGGGTTTTATGGCTCGGGCAGAAGGAGGGGCAGGAGGAAATGCGGGCTGGGCAGAAGGAAATAGAGGAGACGGGATTTTGGGCAAGCCGCAGGGAGTGATGATGAGTCCACCAATGGGGAGGCCGCCACAGGATCAGGAATTTGCGAACCGAGGGAAGCGGGGTGGGGCGGGCAGGAACAGGGGCAACAGCGGCGGTGCAGGGGGTCGGGACAGGGATCGTGGCAGTGGCGGTGGCGGTGGCGGTGGCGGTGGCAGTGGTGGTGGTAGTGGCACAGGGGGGCGTGATCGTGGGAGTGGCAAGGGCAGTGGTGGTGGTGGCAGTGGTGGCGGTGGTGGCGGTGGTGGGGGTGGCACCACAGGGGATCGTAATCGTGGTAGCAGCAGTGGTGGCGGTGGTGGGAGAGATGGCGGTGGTGCTAAGGAAACTCGCCACCGTTAGGAGGGGTGGGGTCGTGGAATAGAGGGAGTGGTCGGGAACAGTGGGAGGTTCGTTGAACAGCAGTGAAACTGGTGGTGGTGGTGGTGCTGCTGCTGCTGCTGCTGCTGCTGCTGGTGGTGCTGGTGGTGCTGGTGGTGCTGGTGGTGCTGGTGGTGCTGGTGGTGCTGGTGGTGCTGGTGTTGCTGGTGGTGCTGGTGGTGCTGGTGCTGGTGGTGGTGGTGCTAGTGGTGGTGGTGCTAGTGGTGGTGGTGCTAAGGAAACTCGCCACCGTCAGGAGGGGTGGAGTTGTGGAATAGAGAGAGAAGTTGTGGCACAGAGAGGGGTCTTGGGACAAACAGAGAGGAATTGGGACAGAGAGGGGTCTTGTAATGAAGGGATTGTTCATGGAACAGAGGGGTTTGGCAACAGAAAGCTTCTGGACCTAGACAGGAAAATGGGTTCTCAAACCAACCACATGGTGCCATAAGATTGGTCTGATATTGCCAGATGATGTATCGGGGGAGTTTTAATTGGGGAAGGGAAGGGGAGGGCCATCTGGTGGAGGTGGCATGGGGGGCTCTGCTGTTGGTAATTGGACGGGGATTGGGCTAGGAGACCAGATAATTGCCCACATACCTGGTTAAGGTTGAACAGGGAGGAGAGAGCACTGCAGTTGACTAGATCATTTCACGCTAGATTCAGTTCTTTCCTTTGCCAGTGTAAGGTTCAACATTGAACCATTAGGTGGTGACAGATTGAGCGGTAGAGCAGCCTTTTTCAAGGATCTGCTCTCCAGCTTCTTCGCACTGCTCCCTGTCGCCTCAAATTTCGCCCTCACGTTGTACCCGCCTTGCAAATGCCACAATTTCACCGGTAACTTCCACGACCGTTTCGTTTAAATCCAAATCTTCGCCAGGGCAACCTCTCCTGTCGACTTGCTTCGTGCATTCCACACCACACACGGCAGCAGCGATTTTCCACCAACAATTTTCTTTCAGCTTGCTTGTGATCTCTTGCGACTCGAAATTAGCTCTGGCTCTCCTACGTCTTTATGACAGTTCGCTCCACGCATGACGGTTCTGCTCTCACCCCTGACATCTCCGATTCCAGTTTCTGGCTACGCTGCTTCCGCCAATTTTTATTTCTTCCGTGATTGCCGCTTCGCCAGTTAGGTCTTCTGATTGAATTTGCGCGGCTGGCGGTCGTCACGGCAGCTGCGCGCCGAGCCGCAGCGTGCCGAGTCGCAGCGCGCCAAGGCGCTTCACATCGAGGCTTCATGGGGTCCGTGCTGGGTCGCATCGACGTCGAGACGCCGCGATTCACGGTGGAGGAGAAGACCGATGCGTTTGAGATTCGACGATACCCTCCGCAGATGGCGGCGGAAGTGACTTACGACGGCGACCACTTCCAGGTGCGGTGCAGCACGGCGCTTTACTGTGCATCCCGGTGCATTCCGTGCACCATTCCAGGTGATTGGTCGCGGAATATCATCCTTGGATGGTTGCTGTCCTCCAAAAAAACTCGTAACGTGTGACTTCTCTCTTCTCTTTTTACATAGAATCACCACTAGCTGTCTCCGCCAAATGCGGAGAAGCGACTAACAATGACCACGGCGTCTTCCACTTAAATCATGAAGAACTTTCATGTAATAGGGTTACCGATTCTGTGATCCAGTAATATCAATGAGGGTTTTTTTTTCCTCCTTTAGCAGGTTGTAATGAGGTTCCAGGTAACAGTAGAGCTTCTTCGATTGTTCCTGCCGTCCCCGTGCATCTTGTGTCCCCCCCCTCCCCCAGCCCTTCCTCTCCCTCCCACTCCCTCTTCGCCGAGCGTGTTGTCACCGGGAGCATTTCCTTTGCTCGCTCAGGCTACATTGGAGTTCTGAGCCCAGTAGGTGATAATACAGGTGTTCCTTCAATGTATGAAGACGCCTCAGAAAAATAATAAAATGTAAAATTTGTGTTTTCACTCTGGTCCACTCACTCCCCTCCCTGTGCAGCGTGTTGGCCTCCAGAAGTGGGTTCTTCGTCCTGGCAGGCTACACCGGGGTGCTGGGTCCAGTGGATGACAGTTAAGCTGCTCCTTCAACTGTATCTGGTCATCCTTCCCTTACCCTCCTTCCACTCCCCCTCCTTGCGCAGCGTGTTGGCTCCAGAAGTGGTTTCTTCGCCCTGGCAGGCTACATCGGGGTGCTGGGTCTTGTAGATGAAATTGAAGCTGCTTTTTCAACTGCTTCTGGTTTTCTCTCCCTCTCATCCCTTCTCTCCCTCTCATCCCTTCCTTTCCTTGCACCTCTCACACCCACCCCCACTCCCTGCACAGCGTGTTGGCTCCAGAAGCGGGTTCTTCGCCCTGGCAGGCTACATTGGGGTGCTGGGTCCAGCGGATGATAGTTGAGCTGCTTCCTCCCTGTCATCCCTTCCCTCCCTCGCACCCCTCACACCCCACTCCCATTTCCGGCACAGCGTGTTGGCTCCAGGAGCGGGTTCTTTGCCTTGGCAGGCTACATCGGTGTGCTGGGTCCAGCGGATGACAGTTAAGATGCTCCTTCGACTGCTTCTGATTTTCCCTCTCTGTCGTCCCTTCCCTCCCTCGCTCCCTTCCAATTCTTCCTCCCTGCACAGCGTGTTGGTTCCAGAAGCGGTTGCTTCGCCCTGGCAGGCTACATCGGGGTGCTGGGTCCAGTAATAAACAGTTACGCTGCTCCTTCAACTGTATCTGGCCATCCCTCCTGTCCCCCCCTTCCATTCCCCCTCGGTGCACAGCGTGTAGGTTCCAGAAGCGGGTTCTTTGCACTGGCAGGCTACATCGGGGTGCTGGGTCCAGCGGAGAACAGAAAACCTGTTGCAGGGGAGGGAACGGGAGGGGAGGAGCGGCAAAAGATAGCCATGACTGCTCCTGTTATCACAGAAACAAGCGCTGCTGGTGCAAATGGGGATGCTGCTGCTTCTGATCCTGCTGCTGCTGAAGCTGCTTCTGCGTCTGAAACTGGTGTTGCTGCTGCTGGTGCTGATGGTGGTGGTGGGGGGGTTGGTGAGGGCGGCAGGAGCGGTGAACCACAGAAAATTGCGATGACTGCTCCTGTGGTAACAGAAGTGGTAACACCTGTTGCTGGAGAAACGGGTGCTGGCGAAGCAACGACAGCAGCGAGCAAGACGACAATGCAGTTTCTCCTGCCTGCGTCGTTCACACCAGAAAACACCCCGATTCCCACCAACCCAGACGTGCGCGTGCGACAGGTCCCTGCACGCCTGATTGGTGCGCTTACCTTTTCGGGACTCACGACGAATGCTGTGCTGGATCAAAAGTCGCGAGAGCTGCGAAGTGCGTTGGAGAAAGCAGGGTACGGTATCGCGGGCGAATATGTGCTCGCGCGTTACAACGACCCGTTCACGATTCCGTGGTTTCGCACAAATGAGATTCTGTACCCGTTAGAAGAGGCTCGGAAAGAGAGTGGTTCTTAGGGTACATTCCGCTGTGGACACATGTCCCAATCGATGTGTCCCAATCGTTTCTACCGCACTGCATCGTACTACACCAAATTGCACCCTAGTTTCGAAATTTTCGCGTCTCTGGTTTAGTTCGGTTTGGAGCGGTACACTCGATTGGGACACATCGATTGGGACATGTGTCCACAGCGGAATGTACCCTTGAAGAAAATTCTCCGCTGGCCACATTGCAGTAAACCAAATTTATTTCGATCCCCTCCATCCAACCAACCAACCAACCAACCAACCAGAGGTTACAGCAAAAATGTACACAGTATAGCATTATCCTTCCACAGGGTACAAGATCTCGTTAGTCCTCATAAACGGCAGAGTGAATGGCGGATTGTATCGCCCAACCACATAATCCCCACATACTTTATACCCAGCTGCTTCTAATGCCGCCTGCAGCTCCTGCGACTTGTGCTGAAGCACGGATTGCGTTGTGAGGCCCGAGAAAGTGACGGCTCCCAGAAGACGGGGCGGCAGCTGATGAATGGTGACTGCCGGGTTGGTAGGAATCGGTGTGGTGGCTGGTGTGAGGGATGCTGGCAGGAGGAACTGCATCGTGGTCTTGCCTGGAGAGGAAGTGGGGGCTGGGGGAGAGTGGGGTGTGGAAGGGAGAAAGGGCGGAGGGGAGAGGGAGGGGGGGGAGGGAGGGGAAGAGGGGAGGGAGGGAAGAGGAGTGGTTGAGGCACAGGTGCCCGAGAAAGTGACTGCACCCAGGAGGCGGGGCGGCAGCTGATGAATGGTGACTGCCGGGTTGGTGGGGATGGGCGGGGTGGCTGGTGTGAGGGATGCTGGCAGGAGGAATTGCATCGTGATCTTGCCTGTATCGTGGTCTTGCCTGGTGCTGTTGTTGGGGGCTGTGGAAGGGGGAAGGGTGGGGAGGGAGGACGGGAGAGTCGAGGGGAGGTTTGGGTATGAGGAAAGAGGACTAGGTGACTTTTGAGTCTCTGTGGAAGTGCATGACTGATGGCAGATATGCATGCATGCCTGGCGAAAGTGCCACTTCTTCCGTACCTGTCACCACAGGAGCAGTCATGGCGATCTTCTCACCCCCAGCAATGTTCTTCCCTGCCTCATCCCCTCCGCCTTCCCCTCCTCCTTCCCCTCCTCTTCCCACATCTCCCCCTTCTTCTGCAATATGTGTGAGCACCGGAGCAGTCATGGCAATCTTCTCACCACCAGTAGTGCTCTTCTCTCCCCCGTCCCCTCCTCCTCCATCTCCTCCTCCTTTTCCTCCTCCAGCGTGTGTCAGCACGGGAGCAGTCATGGCAATCTTTTCACCCCCCTCGCCTGGGCTGTCCGAATGGGCAGGTGCAGGTCGGTTCTGAGGAGCAGAGAGCGCGCCTATGTACCCTGCTAGGTCTGAAAAGGCTGTGTTGATGCCGTTCTGCGGAAAGACGGGATTGAGAGGGGTTGACAGGGATTAGAAGAAGTGGAGAGGAGCAGAGGGCACAGCTATGTACCCTGCTTGCGCAGAAAAGAGGTGTGTTGATGCTGTTCTACTGCAGCAGCATGGATTCAGCAGGGTTGAGTGGCACTGTTGATGCATGGTGATGCACCCCGTACCTGGTGGTCGCCGTCGTACAACACTTGCGCCACCATCTGCGGAGGGTATCGCCAAATCTCAAGCGTATCCGTCTTCGCCTCCACTGAGATGCACCGGGATGCACCGAGATGCATCTCACTGCACCGTCCTGCACCTTTCTGCACCGTACAGAACCTTTCTGCACCGTACTGCACTGTACTGCACCGTACCTGGTGGTCGCCGTCGAACGTCACTTCCGCCACCATCTGCGGGGGGTATCGGCGAATCTCAAACGCGTCCGTCTTCGCCTCCACCGTGAATCGCGGCGTCTCCACGTTCACCCGACCCAGGACGATCCCCATTGGTGCGTCTACCACTCCTGTTACTACGATCAGTATTACCCGTGGAGGGTTATTGAGATTCCTAAAAAATCGTCTACACCTGTTACTAGTAGCACTATTATCACCAGTGGAGCACCACGCTGTGCTTATGAGCTCGGCCGGTTTTTGAGGCGCCTCAAAGCACCACGCGCTCGGCCGGATCTCGTAGATGTTGTTTCCTGTCGAAATTCCGAATTCCCGAATCGTTGGACGTCTAACTGGACTGCGCTTTGATCGAAAAATCTCGAAAGCTCGCTTGCTTTCTCGACAAAAACGAGTTGTGGATGAGACAGAGCGGCAATAGACTAGCACCTTGTATCGGGCGGACAATCACGAATTGCTGGCAGCGTCACGATATGAAGACGCTCCATCACTCGGACTCGAGCCATGCATCTCCCAAATTTCGTCTCCGGCGTCGATGATGGTTCGCTTGGCACGCACGCAAAGAAAAGGAAACGAGCTACGCCTACGGTTCGCAACTACCGTCGGCCTTCCCAAAACACGTCACCATCTACCGCTTGCGCGCACAGCTAGCATCTAGGACTTCTGTGCATTCATGGCCACCGTCTGTAAGGAATTTTCTCGGCATTCCTTACGGAGCCCGACTACATCGCGTACAGCAACAGCCGTTGTTCACCCGTTACTGCTAACGGGGCTTCGCCGACTTCGCGCGCACTGTTTCACCAAACCTCACACTGCTGGCCTGGCCGTGTCGGCCTACGCTTCGGGACTAGCCCGAGCCTCGCTTCCAGCGTAGCACTAGCTAGCTCGCACGCACCGCGTTACCGTTTGCATGTTTCGCGTATAAATGTTCGCTCATGCCTTCGCTCACATTTTGTACTCGTTTGACACCTTAGTGCAATTCTCGCTACTTCGATTCATTGCACCCGTAACACTTGGTATTCAGAGCCCCTTTCTTTCGGACCGCGCATCTCCGCACCCCAAGAAATCAACTTTTGTTTTTTCACTCGAAGGGACTCACGTACCGTAGCACCTAGGAGTCACTGTCCTCGCGTTCTCTCGTAAACGCGTGCAGCCACGACTGCGCCTAGACTAAGACGAGCCGACGCCCTTCGAAATGGCTGATCATATCGACGTCACGACTCTCACGCAGGAGCACTTGAACGATCTGCTGCGACAAATCCACGAGAGCGCCGAGGAAATTGCGACGCTGACGGCACAACGCTCGTCCCTACAAAACGACCTCACACGGGCACAATCCCAAGCACCTGGCACTCCGATTCAGCCCGCACCACAGACATCACAGCACGGAAGTGTGGGGCAACCCGCGAGCGCCGCAAGTGATGGCGTCGTCCGCCATGACGGAGACGACGACCACGGCACGATACACCCCGACGCGACAAATGCGGCCAGGACTCAGCCTCGAGTCACGATTTCGGTGCCGGCCGGCGAATCAACTCTTCCGTCGCCGATGTCGCTAAAGCCGCAGCGTCCGCCATGCTTTGACCCAAGTCACCGGGGTGGTCCTACCGTTCAGGCGTGGCTCTTCACGTTGAGCGTCTTCTTCGACGCGAACTACGTCTCGGAGGATACGGCGAATATTCGCTACGCCGTGTCGTTGCTGCGAGGACCCGCCATGGACTGGTGGCGCGTCATTGTCACGAAGCCGGTGGACTACGCGATTCTACCGACACGGGAAGGACAAACCGGACCCTGGGCGCCGTCGTATTTCGTGGAGGTGCCCCAGTATCGCACGTGGGACGCGTGGTGCGCAGGTCTGCGCGCTCGTTTCGGGCCAATCGCGGCTTCGATCACGGCGCGACAGAAGCTCCGCACTTGGCGCCAACTCGGTTCCGTCCAAGATTACACGAGCGGATTTCTGGCGCTATGCGAGCAGGTGGGATATATGCACGAGAGCGAGCACATCGACCGCTACATCGGTGGCCTGAAGCAGGACATCGCTCAGGAAATCCAACTTCGCGGCGTCACCGACTTTCAAGAAATTCTCGCTATGGCGGAGAAACTTGACTTCTTCCGCCGACCGAGACCGGGGTCCTACGGAAGCAGCCATTGGGGACATCGGCCTCGTGGAACAAACGAGGGCGCCACGATACGTGCCGTCGCCGCAAATGCCGCTGCCGCACCGTTCAAAGGGCACTGCTTTGCGTGCAATCGGCCGGGACATCGCAAGAGCGAATGCCCGGAAAACGCTCAGGGAAAGGGGGAAGCTGAGCAGCAGAAACAGACCAAGCAGCAGGGAAACGCTAGGAGTCAGTAGCAGACGGGCCCTCTACTGACAGGTCACGCCGCTCGCCCGACCCAACCGACCCTCACCGAGTGATTGTGCCGGTTCACGCAATCGACCACACTCGCCCGAATAAGGAGGGGACTACGGTAGACAGCCCCATACTGCTTAGTGGGAAAATCGGGACGGACTTAGTTAAAATATTCGTAGACGGGGGAGCTAGTCACAGCCTCATCAACACCGCCACAGCACGAAAACTGAGATGGACGCACGTCTGGTAGACGGCACGCTGCTGGCAATACGAGAACGCGTAGACCGGGTTCGGATTCGATGTGGGGGTAACTTCACGTTTAGCCAGGGAATGCTTTTAACGACCCTCGACGGAACCGACATTTTACTCGGGCGTGATTGGCTGCGACGACACAATCCGCGAATCGACTTGACGACGGGTGACTGCACCGTGCGAGTGAACGGTAACAACATCGCCCTACCTCGCTGGGGCTCGCCTGAGTCTTCGTCGGTGCGTGTCGACGCGATCACGATGAAACGCGCTGTAGCGGCAGGAGCTAACGTGTACGCGGTCGGCATTCGGGAAGCCGAGGCAGCAGACAAAGGAGGGGATTTACAGAAACTGCTGGCCGACGTACCGAGTGATGTGGCAACACTGTTGAAGCAGTACAGCGACATTTTCCCTGACGATTTACCGACGGGACTGCCACCTCAGCGACCGCACGACCACAGGATAGAGTTAGAGCCGGGGGCGCAGCCAACAGTACAGCGACAGTTCCGACTGACCCAGCCCGAACTGGACGAATTGAGGAAGCAGCTCGATTACCTGCTCGAGAAGGAGTTCATTCGCCCTAGTTCGTCGCCCTTCGCAGCACCAATACTGTTCACACCGAAAAAAGACGGGGGATTTCACATGTGCATAGACTACAGAGCACTGAACAGGGTTACCATCAAATCCCGTTACCCCATCCCGCGAGCCGACGAACTGATCGACCAACTGCGCACAACCCGGGTTTTCTCGAAAATCGACCTCCGAGGGGGTTACCACCAGATTCGCGTCAATCCGCCCGACTGCCCTAAGACCGCATTCCGAACACGCTACGGATCCTTCGAATATACCGTCATGCCCTTCGGACTGACCAACGCCCCTGCCACTTTTCAAATGACCATGAACGAAGCTTTCCGCCCGCTCTTAGATAAGTGCGTCATAGTATACCTGGACGACATACTGATTTACAGCCCCGACAGAGCACAGCACTAACAGGACATCGAAGCAGTTTTTAAAATACTGAGTGAGAACTGCCTACTGACAAAAGCGTCTAAGTGTGAGTTTTTACAGGACCGCTTGGGATTTTTGGGACACATTATTTCAACTGCAGGAGTGGAAATAGACCCGAAGAAAAGTGCGACGATTCAAGCATGGCACGCGCCGACCAACTTGACCGAGTTGCAAAGTTTTTTGGGGTTCGTCAACTACGTGCGCCGGTTCGTCCCCGACATGGCGAAGCTGACTGCCCCGATGACAGACCTGCTGAGGAAGGGGGTTGAGTAAACGTGGGGGGAGAAAGAGCAAGCTGCCTTCTCGGCCCTCAAAAACATTTTGTGCTCACCGCCCGTGCCTCACATCGCAGACCCACACCGTCCGTTCGAGCTCGTCACTGACACAAGTGACATCGCTGTGGGAGCAGTACTGTTGCAGGATTTCGGGAACGCCCTCCAGCCAATCGCGTATGAGTCCCGCAAGCTGCACCCGCCCGAACGCAACTACCCGATACACGACCGCGAAATGTTGGTGATCGTGCACGCGTTCAAGGTTTGGCGGTGTTACCTGACTGGCGTCGACGTGACAGTACGGACAGACCGCCGATCACTACAGTACTTACGCACCCAACCGAATCTCAATCCACAACAGATTCGCTGGTTGGACTACCTCGAGTTCAACTTCCACTATACGGTTACGTACAAGAAAGGCGCATCCAACATCGCCGACGCACTCACCCGCCCTACCGCCCAGCTCCACGCCATCCTACTCGCCCAGACCAACCCGCTTTTAAACGGCCTATTCACCCACGGATACCGCACCGACCCATTTTTCACGACTGGAAACTCACAGCAACTGGCAGAAGCTAAAGGGGTTTATTACGTAAAAGCAGGCACCAACCGCATCTGGGTACCCGCGTACTCACTACTGAGGGAGCTGCTACTACAGGAGGCACACGACGGAATTACCTCCGGACATTTTGGGGTAGAAAAAACGCGACAGCAACTGCAGCGGTATTACTACTGGCCGGAGCTGTTGACCGACGTGCAGCAACATGTGGGCTCGTGCCCCACGTGTCAGGTGATGAAGAGCTCGAGGAAGCGGAAAGCGGGTCAATTGCAGCCGATACCACCGCCCGAGCGCGCCTGGCAGCAGGTCACCATGGACTTCGTCACAGGGTTACCTTTGAAACCTGGGAGTAACGACGCGGTGATGGTCGTCGTTGACAGATTGGCGAAGATGGCACACTTCGCTGCGTGTAAAAAGTCGATCTCAGCCGAGGAGACCGCTCGTCTGTTCATCACAGCCGTTGTTCGCCTGCACGGGATATCAGCAGCAATTATCAGCGACAAGGACACGAAGTTCACCAGCAACTTCTGGAAGAACCTCTGGGAGCAGTTCGGGACCAGGCTACAGTTCAGTTCGTCGTACCACCCCGAGACCGATGGTCAAACGGAGCGGACGAATCAGACGATGGAGCAATTAATTCGTGCCACGGGCGACGAC